ATTACACCAAAAAACAGGTCAAAAATAGGATCTAATGTTTTGAATGGTATTTTTTTTAGAATTTCTAAAAACTTCATATGATTTTAGAAATTTTGATTATTTACTATATATTTTTTACGTTTTTTAATAATCTTGAGATATAATTATAATTTTAAAAAGTGTTAAACAGTAATAAGATATTTAACTTATTTAACACCTAAATTTCTTAAAAATACTTAATATTTATTGAGATCTCAAACATATGTTACATGTGTCAAATTCCACCATCAAATCTCCTATATAAACATAAGATTTTTAGTAAGTATTTCACTTAAATCAACAAATCTTAAATGTGTGACGACAATGATACTTGGGCCAGAGGAGAACTTCGGAGCCCACGATTCACCAGTTCGGGCCATTCACAGTTTGGAGCATCGCAGTTGGAGCATTCAGATTCTTCATGTGCATAGGGAAGCCAATTTTCTGGCGGACCATATGGCTACTATAGCGGCTTCGGCCCCGTTGGGCTTGCAACGGATCCATCACCTCCCCCAGGGATGGATGCATAGCTTAATCACGACATTCGTGGGGTGGCTCACCCACGACGAGTTATAGCTTAGAAATTTTGGGAATTTTGCCACCTTTTATGTACCAAAAAAAAAAATAAAAAAAAAAAAAAAAAATCAACCAATCTTAAAATAAATATTAATTAAAATCTCAGTTGTATCTTAAATTACCAAAAGAAAACATAAAAATACTCAAATTAATAGTAAGAGCATTGACAATTAAAGTGCTTGGATCTTGCATTTAGAAGTGTTATATGAGCAACATCAATTCAAGTTCGTGCTCATTTAATAAATAGGAAAGACCGACTTGTCTCATTTGTTTTCTTGTAGGCCAGTAAACGAGCAGAGTCGACCTCGAGCATTGGATGCTCGAGCTCGAAATCGAGCCCCTTAACAATCCGAGCCAAGCCAAGTTCAGCTCATTAAACAAATGAGCTAAAAATCCAGTTCGGCTCATTTATCACTATTAACAAGTTTAGTTCGAGCCAATCTCGAGCTTTAACGAGGCGATTTATAGAAAATTATATACAAATTATCTTTTCGAGCCTTATCGAGTGTAGTCGAACTCAGATCGTTAACCAAATGAATTTTAAATGAGCTCCAGCCAGATTTGTTAACCAAACGAGAGTTAAATGAGCTCGAACTCGGCTCATTAAGGGCTCGAGCTCGAGTCAAACTCGAGTCTTAATGAGTCGAGCCAAACTAGACTCGTTTAATTTAACAGCACTATTTGCTTGACTCCAACTCAACTCATTTAATAAACTAGTAACTCAAACTCATTAAAGCTCAAGTCCATTTGACCTGACTCGCTTAATAAATTTAAAACCTCCAACGAGCCTTACCCGAATAAAATATATGTTCGGAAACTAATTTCAATTCATAAAAAAAAAAATTAATTGGATGTTCACAAACAAACCCGACTGGATAACTGAACACTCGCGATTAGTTGTACGAGCTCGAATCCTTTAAGTACGTAAACAACTCGAGTTTGAACTTTCACATGCCCAATCAAACTGTGTTTTCAAATGATTTCGATACGTTTAGAGCATGCTTGTTTATAATTTTTTTTTTGATTTTGATTGAGTTTTTGGTTTGAGTTGGTTAAATTTGAAAAAGTTGGAATGATTAATTGTTAGTGGATATATTAATATAATTTTTAAAATAAAATGATTAAAATTAAATTGATGTAAAAGTAGTAGGAGAGTAGATGTGATGTGATAGTTAGTTAAAATTATGTAAGTAGATGAATAATAAATTAAGGTTGATGTTGTGTGTAAGAATGATTGTTTGATATTATTTAATTATATTGATAATATTGATGATAGTGGGTTGATTGATTGATATTATTTAATTATATTGATGATAGTGAGTTGAGTTAAAAAAAAAAAAAGAATTATGCTACTTAGCCAACCTCCATTACAGCTTGGTTTACAATCAAGTGTAATGGAGGTGAGCAATGTAGCATAATCCTAATAAAAAATGATTGAGTTAAAAATGATTGAATTTTTTTGAATTGAATTTATAAACAAGCATCACCTAAGAGTTCTAATCGGACTAGTGTAATTGAACCGGGTTTCTTGAAATAGCCCAACATATATAATGGACTCATTCAACCACCATGCCTCAACGGTACACTAACGCTCCTATTTCAAATTTTTTAAAAAATATTAAAGTAATCTTACCAGAACCCCCATAATTAACCCCGGTGGCATACCCTGATAAAATGACTTAATAATAATAATAAATAAAGGGAAATTCTACGGTCCCGTTACAATATCATCCCGTCAGATATTTTAACCGTTGACAGAATGGTACCGTAACGGAACCGTAGCATTTTTCAATAATAAAAATCATACTTAAGTAACCTTGAAAGCTTTTTCCTTTCAGTAAAGAGTGTCCATATTATATAAAGTTGTGCGTGTCCGTATTCCCAAAGGATATGCACATACCCATTAAAAAAATTTCGAAAAACCTTTGAAATTCTTTTGTTTTTTTTTTTTTT